CCTGGAGTGCGTGGCGTCTGCCTCAAGGCTGCCAGGTCACCAAAGGACTACATGCTCTTGGCATGCAGCTGGTGCAGAGCACCATGGGATGCTCCCACACACACGCACTGCTAACTAACCACGAAGCAGGAGCAAGAAAAAACAAAAAGCACAAGCAGACAGAAATCAGGAAGAGAAGCCCTTCCTCCTGCAATGTCCCTCCAGCTCCCTCTACTGGCAAAGCTTAACATTGTGCTCACTGTCAAATCCATTTTGCTGCTGTTAGTTGTTAGTTGCCCTGGAGTTGATTCCAACTCATGCGACCCTACCACGTGTAGAGTAGCACTTTTCCATAGGGTTTCAAGGCTGATCTTTCAGAAGCAGATAGACAGGCCTGTCTTCCAAGGCACCCCTGGGTGGGTTTGAACCCCCCCGCCAGGAACTCTCAGAGCAGGTATTGAAGGAGGAATTTGGAGCTGCAAAGCAATAAATTGATCAATTGATACAAGCTGTTATTAGTCATTAGAACCAAGGTCAGCAAACTTTCTCTGTAAAGAGTCAAAGAGTAAATATTTTAAGCTTGGTGAGTCATCCAGTCTCTGTCAAAACTACTCAACTCTGTCACTGTTGCACAAAAGCAGCACAGATAATGTATAAACAAAAAGTCTGGCTATGTTCCAATACAACTTTATTTACAAAAGCAGGCAGTGGATTTGGCCCACAGCCCACGGTTTGCCAACTCTTGATTTAGAATTTTAGAGTGACCATCCTCTCCTCTGTGAATAGGGCAATTGGGGTGTGCACAAGTGCACAGGGCTGAGGTGAGTGGTAAGGGCTGGGAGAGTGGAATATAAATGGGGATAATAATGTCTATAGTGTATTTTTTGTCCAAATTAAGTAAGCTATTGTAATCAAGGAACTAACAGTATGTTTAATAAATTATTATTACCTTTGAGGGTTTATGCAAGGCAAAATAGTAGTCCATGTTGTGCCTTCCTCTTTTAAAGACTGGAAGTTGATACTCAGAGGGTTAACAAACCTGCCTCAAGTCATATAACCTTAGATAGATAGATAGATAGATGCCCTTCAGTCAACTCAGACTCATGGTGACCTTCTGTACAACAGAACAAAATTTTGCCTGGTCCTGCATCATCCTCACAATTGCCGGCATGTTCCAGTCGATTGTTGTGGCTATTATGCCAATCTATCTCACCCTCACTGGCCCTCTACTTCACCAAACACAGTGTCCTTCTCCAGCAACTGATCCCTCTTGATGACATGTCCAAAGCAAGTGAGATGGCCTATATTTTGTTGTGATCCATAAATTTTTCATTGGTTACTTTTTGAAAGTAGATTGCTAGGCTTTTCTTCCTAGTCTGTCTTAGTCTAGAAGTTCCACTGAAGCCTGTCCACCATGGGTGACGCTGCTAGTATTTGAAATACTGGTAGCGTAGGTTCCAGCATCACAGCAACAAACAAGTCACCACAGAATGACAAACTGCCAGATGGGTGGTGGCACATAGCCTTGCTGAGCTATAATTTGAATTATCAGTCGGTCTGACTCTTAAGCCCACATTCCTCACCACCACGCCCATTACCACACTCACAATGGGCAGCTGGGTGCTCCCCATATGGGCTGCTTTCTTTACTGGGTACTATAATGAAATTGAATTTATCACCCTTGATCTTTAGCAGGCTAGGAATCCCAACCTGAAGGAAACCAGCACTTAACCTGGGTGAAACCCATCTCCCGAAATGTATAAAGCACTTAAAGACGAGAGATGAGCGATATCTGACCATGCAACGGTATCTCACTGATTGCCAGCTGGTTCTGCTGAAATGGCGGGCTATGTTGGTATCCCATTTCAAGCCCCCCTCTCCTTGCTCTGTCCTTCCATGACCGTCCCAGATGAAGAATCATTCCTTAATCAAGGTTAGAACACTTGTTGGGCTCCCGCTTAAGAACTTGAAATCACTAAGATGCTTCTTACTGATTCTGGCCACGTCTCTACAATGGAATTTACCAAAATGAATGTTAATTATTATTTTATCACTACTTATTGACGATGTGCTCGCCTAGGGATTTTATATAAAAAGGGGAAAACAGAGGCTTGGAGAGATTGATTTGCCCACCCCATGCATCTACCTGAATTCACATCTTTCCAGATGCTCAGCTTGGGGTGGAAATGCAATGCACGGGATTCACTTCGGGATCAGACAGAGCCAGGTTCAAATCCCAGCTCCACCTCTTAATAGACATGTGACCAATTGCTCTTTTTCTCTATTGAGAGCTATTCTTCATGGCATTTCTGCGTGTCTTGTAAAGGTTTTTGCTCTGCCAATTTTTCAAGGATGTTTGTACAGCAAACACTAGGGGCATGCCCTCCTTCTGAAGTGCTTCTTAGCACTTCAGCGAAGGTCTTGTTAGCCTCCACAGGCCACACTTGTCTGTCTGTCCTTTTCCCCTTCATGGACTCCTTTTCTCTTAGCCTCGTAAATGCCCAGCCCACCTCTCTTATTGCTCTACCTCCCCTCCCTGGGTGACTTCCTCACACTGTTGGTTTTAGAAACCTCTTAAATGCTGATGACTCCCTAAATTCTAGCTCCACTCCAGATCTTATCCAGCCACCTGCTGAGCAGTTCTACCTCAAATTCAAGTGATCCAAAAATAAACACATTCTTTCCTGGCCCTCCACACCAACAAATCCACTCTCCTGGGCCCACTGTCTGTTTGTAGTACACCTAGCCACCTCATTGTTCCAAGCAGTCATCCTTGATCCTTCCCTGCTCCTTGTCCTCCCCCCCCCCCCCCCACCAAGCTTTCTCTGAATATTGCTTTTTTTACTTCCTGTTTCAAGGCCTTCACCCCTCCCCACCAGGAGCTCTTGGATGGTGCAAACAGCTAACCTACTTGGCTGCTAACTGAAAGCTGGAGGTTTGAGTCCACCCAGAGGCACTTCAGAAGAAAGGCCTGAAGATCTGCTTCCAAAAAGTCAGCCACTGAAAACCCTGTGGAGCACAGTTCTACTCTGGTACACATGGGGTCACCATGAGTCAGTGTCCACTCCAAGGCAACCAGTTTTACCCCCCACCAGGCCTATTCATCCTACTGTTGTTTCCCCTCAGGTCCTAATCCTTCGTGGCTAGGGTGACTGCGGTGTCCAGTTAACTGGGCCTCCTGCCTGTCTTGGCCCTTTTAAAGCCCCCACCCCATTGTTGCTGGAGTTATGTTCCTAAAATATAAACCCTATCATGTCACTTCCCAGCTTAAAACCCTTGTCTTGCTCCTCACAGCATAGTTCATAATGCCCTCTAATGTTATGTCCCACCCGCCCATAGCTCCCTCCCCGCTTCAAATGCTCCTCCAGTCTGTCTCCTATGGCCACTACCACTTAAAATGGAAAAGAGGTGGGGAGAAGGTGCCTTAAAATAACAATCATACGGTGGCACTAACTAGCTTTACTTTTTGCTGTCTGGAGCCAGGAAGTTATAAAATGTTGCAGTAAACACTAGTTACACATCTTCTGCCTGCCTCAAACCCATTTGAATGTTGTTAGTTTTTCTTCAAAAATAAATAAATCAGTTTCGGTCAGGCGCCATATTTCTATCCGATTTTTCGCTGTTAAGTTTGGTTGCTTCTCAGGGTCTCCTGGAGAAACAAGCCGAGCGATTTCTTCATTCCACCCAATAAAGACCAGGGTTTCCTGGTGATAAGATACATTTAATTTTTCTCTCCTTCGTCCTCTAAGCAAACAAACCAACACCCTTGTGTCCACCAGGAGGCGCCGGGAGCGGCGAAAGACTTGCGGTACCTTCACGATTAGAGAGGCGGAGATGGATGCAGCAGCGATGGACTGGGGCTTCCTTTTTTAAGACTCCGAGCGAGGGAAGGGAGCAGAACCATGTTATTTTAGGAAAGCTTTATCGCACTTCCCCTGTGGGTGTAGGTAGCGTCTGGGGTGTGTACATCCCACTCGCGGGCTCCATGGAGAGGCTCCGGCGGCGGCTGCGGCTCCTGTCGCGGCTGCAACCGGCAGTAATCCGACCCCGCCAGCGCGAGGACTGAAGAGGCGCAGTGGAGAGCGGCGAGCTGCGAACAAAAGCCCTAGGCGCGGGCGGGAGCCCAGGACATGCGGTAAGTGAACCGGTCCCAGGACAAGGGAGCTGTCGGCACTGGCGCGGCCGAGCTCGCTGGGTCCAGGAGACCACCCAGCTGGGATGCAGTGGAGGGACGCGCAAAGCGTTCGGGGGCGGGTGTCTCAGTCCAAACCGAGGTGCAAGACGCCTTTAGCACATCCAGATTGGGAGGGGATCGAATTCATCCTGGAAGACCCATGCACCTTCTCCATCCCCTGCAAACACCCGTGGGCGGGGGAGAGGCGGCCTGAGCTTCTAGCAAGCCCTGACCCAAAAGCAGGAGCACGAATCGATCACCCCTCCCGGAGGGGTCTCTTGGGATTGAGGCATTTCTCTCAATCCTTCCATCACGCCGCATTCCATCACCCCTGGGCCCCGCGCTCGGATCCCCTTCGGCAGTGGGAAACCGCCCATAAACTTCTTCTCTAAGCAAATGGGGGTCTTTGCAGCAATGCACTTTGGGTATGCAGAGCCCTCTTCTTTTTTGTCTCTGCAAAACTGCATCCCCGGCCGCCCGCCTAAACTACAAACACGTTAATCTGCCAGGGAATCCTCCAGCGCCTCCCTGGCCAGCTGCTGCCTGCACCCCGATCTTTTCCATTTTAATTTGCAGTAGGAAAGGAATGCATCTAGCGGGACAGACGCCCAGGGGAGCCTCGCATTCAGGGGCTGAGGCTGCTGTGTACTCCTCCCACCACCACCTCCAGCCAGGGTTTTCAGGGCATCGGTATTATGATTTAGATTCCCAGGCCCTTGAGCCTAATCCGCAAGCGGATTAAGTGGGGAGTAAGGGTAAGAAGGGGGAGGGGGGAAAGCTACTCTCAAATGTATTCCTCGATGTCCCTCCCTTGTCATCCGCAGAGACTCCTCAAAAGGGCTTAGCCATGGTGGACCCGGTTCCTGAAGAGAAGGCGGGAGCCGAGCCCGACGGCTCAGGAGAGGGTGGAGCTGACGCGTCGTCGGTGCCCCCTGACGCGCACGTCGCCCAGCAGCCCGCGGCCTCCTCGACCTCCGCCTCAGCGGCGGTGCCCAGCAAGGCGGAAGACCCCTGCGTGGCAGGAGAAAGCGGACAGCGTGAGCAGTCCCCGCTGCTGCACCTCGACCTCTTCAACTTCGACTGTCCGGAGGCCGAGGGCAGCCGCTATGTGCTGACCAGTCCCCGCTCGCTAGAAGCCTGTGCCCGGTGCGCCGTCAAGCCGGTGGAGCTGCTTCCACGGGCCCTGGCCGACCTGGTGCGTGAGGCCCCGGGCCGCTCCATGCGGGTGGCCACCGGCCTGTACGAGGCCTACGAGGCGGAGCGGCGCGCCAAGCTGCAGCAGTGCCGGGCCGAGCGCGAGCGCATCGTGCGCGAGGAGAAGCGGCGCCTCTTCACGCCGCTGGGCGCCGCCGCTGCCGCTGCCGCTACCGCGACTCCGAGCGCTGGCGCCGGCAGCAGCAGCAGCTGCAGCAGCGCCAGCCTCCCGGCCTCGCCCGCGCCACGCGCAGCCCGAAAAGCTTCCTCCAGCCCCTCCCCGGCCCGGACCCAACCGCCGCCCGCGGGCTCGCGGACAGGTAGAAAGAGCCACTCGCTAGACTCGCTGTCTCGCAGACGCGAGGGCGCCCTCAGCTCCGAATCCGGCGCGTCGTCGTCGTCTTACAGTGGAGAGAGCCTGCGGGAGCTGCGCTGGCCGCCGCAGGCCTCGGCCAGGCACAGCTGCCCGGCCGGGTCGGCGTCCTCTGCCCCCAATCCTCTGGGCCGCCCTTCCGTCCTTGCCTTGGTTCCGATCACCGGCCGCAGCTTCAGCCTGGGCGACCTGAGCCATTCGCCGCAGACGGCGCAGCACGTGGAGCGCATCGTGCGGCAAGTGCGCGCCGAACGGGGCCTGCGCGGGGTACCCGAGCGCGACCGGAAGATCGCCGCGCTTATGCTGGCACGGTACCAGGAGGAGCGCCTGCTACTGAAGCAGCGCGCCGAGGCCCACGGGCAGTGGGAGCAGCAGCGCGTGTACGCCGAACAGCGGCGCGAGCGCGAGGAACGCGAGAAGCAGCGCGCCTTGGAGCTGGGTCGCCGGGCCTGGGCTGCGCAGGTGGAGGAGCGGCGCGGCCGCCGGGGACGCGAGGAGCGTGAGGCAGCACGGCGGCGGCAGAGGCAGTGCGAGCGAAGCGAGGAGCGGCGGCGGGAACTGGCTGAGCATCAGGGCCTCCTGAGGCGGGAGCGGGCGGACCGCGCCGCTCGGGAGGACCGGCTGCGCAAACTGCAGCAGGAGCAGAACCTGAAGCAGCGGGAGGAGGGCCTGCAAGAAGGGCGCGAGCGGGCGGAGCAGGTCCGCAGGGAGCGCGCCCAGCGGGCAGCCCGCGCCAAGCAGCGGCAGGAGGGCCAGCTGCAGCGGGAAAAGAGGGAGCTAAGCCGGGCCGAGCGGGCGCGCCACGAAGCGTTGCTGCAGGGACGGGTCCGGCAGGAGAACGAGGAGCGGGAGGGCTTGCGGAGTTCCCTGGCGGCCAGCTTGGGCCGCGCACAAGAGAACTATGAGCAGCTGGTGGAGCAGCGCACCCGGGTGCTGCGGGAGCGGGCCCGGCGGGACGAGCTGCAGAGCCGGCGGGCCAAAGAAGCGGCCGAGCGCAAAGAGAGGGAGCACCAAGCCCACGTGGAGGCGCTGGCCCGGGCGGGGGAGCGGCGGCAGCAGCACGCAGCACAGGTGGCAGAGGAGGCGGTGCAACAGAAGGCGCGGCGCGTGGGCCAGAGCCGGCTGGAGAAGGAGCGGGTCCAGCGCGCCAATAAGGAGAAAGTGGAGAGGGACGAAGACTGCCGCCGGCGGGAGCTGCTCGAGGCCATTGGACGCAAGCTGGAGCGCAGCGAGCAGCTCTCGCGGGAACGGCGCAGCGCGCTGGAGAGCGCACGTTCCACCGCCCGGGCCTCCTTCCACGTTCGCGAGAAGGTGCGCGAGGAGACCAACACGCGCTCCTTCGACCGGATGGTGCGGGAGGCCCAGCTACACGCCAGCCTGGACCGCAAATGACGGCGGCCCCGGGCCGGGCACACTAACACTCACAGCCCGGCGGGGCCTCCCTCGGCCCCTCTGACCGAATCGTGGGAGTTCCCAGCCGGGTCACAGCACGTGGCCTCTCCGGGCTTCTGACCAATGAGGCAATGAGAGGACGGACACGTGGGATCTCTCGGTCCGCCCCCTTTGTTTTTAGAAACTTCGTTTGGAGGTGACTTAGCACAATCTTTGCCCACTTCCACCGTTGGTGGTGCCCGCCCCAGCCCTTGCCAAGCCTCCCTGTGTGTCTTTTGGGTTGGAGCAGACAGAGCTGGGAAGAAAGGGTCCAGGTCAGTCTAGGAGGAGGGACTCCTAGGAGAGTGCACGGGAGCGATTGCTCACACCCGTTCTGCTGCAGTCACCCCGGCTCTTCAAGATATTGGTGTCTCAGCTGACTGTGGTTGTGCAGCAAGGAGGCCTCCGCCTGGCTCACCTCCGCCTTTGAAAACACGTCAAGTTGCACAAAGCTCGGAAACCTCCCAGAAAAGGACACGTCTTTGAAGGTGTCAAGCCACACCTAAGTGACCCAAAAAGCAATTGATTTTTGTATACTTAGTCTTTAAATTGGCCACCTGAGCAAATTCTTGTCTTAGTTCTGATAGTTTTTCAGTTGCTCCCTCTAGGTTTTCTAGTTAGACAATCATCTGCAGATAATTGTGTCGTTTTTCTTTCTCCTTATTCTCCCAAGTGGCACAAGAAATCCATTGCTTTGATGATGCTGTTTAGCTTTAATGGAAGCCCCCAGCCGCTGGGGTAGGCAGGATTCCTTAGGCAGCAGTGTTCTACTCCATTAAGCTTCCTTGTATGGTGGTTTCAGGGGAACGGGTGTTTGATGCCCAACTCCCAGTGTGGGGCCCGAGGAGTTGCATTACTCCTAGGCAGACAGCAGCCATGCCTTAAGAAGCAGAGCTACCTTATGTGCCTGCCCAGGCCACTCCTGCCTATATCTCCAGCCCTGGATGCAGTTCCCAAGGGGTGGGCCCCAGAGAGTTTGGCGTGTAGCATTCCCTCTATGAAGGAATCATCACAGCTGCTCTGAGGGCAATAAGGTGTCCTTGGCTGCATTACTGTAGTGGCTGAAGAGCGGGAATTGCCTCTTTGCTGTTGAGAGTTGTGCTCGTATTTTCTATGTAGCTCCTCCTCGTTCCCCCCTCACAGGAAAAATTCTCTCTCATCCACGGTTCCTCTCACCCTGACTTGAAGTATTTAATCAGTTCTTGGTGGCTCACCTTTTCCATCTGCCAGATGGGGCCATCAGCTCCTCTCCTAGTACCTCAAGTTCTCCCGGATCCAAAGCACCGCCTCAGTATTGATTTTGGTCTTCTTTGTGCCTTTCTTGACCTGGAGTTAGGAGGACACCTGGAGTTAGGAAGAAGGAGGGCTGCTGTTAGCCTAGTTTGTTTGTTTCTGGGTATGTGGATTCCTGGCATTGGAAGGGGCGATGCACATCATGAACAGATGGACATTAGCCTCTGGGCAAAAATACTTGCAAGACCAGGTCACTCCCTGATCCAAAAGGTCATGTTCAATTGTCATCAAACAACTTTAATCCTTAGAGTGCATCCCATCCATGAAGCTGAAACAACCCCCATCCATATACACCCATTGACTCTGCCTTCATCAGGGAAGGTGAGAAGCATTACTTTTTACATTGAAACAGAATCAGGAAATGTTACAAAAAAAAAGAATCAGGGTAGAGAACTACATTAGGCATATTTCATATATATTCTGCTGAGCAGTATGGTCCCTAAAATGACTGGTTATTCCCCACAATCACACACACACACATTCCCTCACCCCCCCCAGCCCCCATCACATGCCAACAGGTACAGGAGTACTGTGTAGAATGAGGTAGTACTTAGGTGTTAGACTTAAGATGTTGTCAAACCAGGAAAGAAGCTGTACCAAGGTTTGTCTCTTGAATGGCTGAAATTTTGTCCTCAGACTTTCTTGTCGGAAAACAGGTTGTCAGTAAGTTGTAATGAATGGCATTATCTGTGAGCCAAAGACATTTAACTAAAGGGTTAATGTGATTCTGGTTCTTAACTTGTGGTTCCTGATTTGCTAAAGGACTTTTGAAATCTTGAAAGAAAGTTCTACTCTAAAACTATTTCCAAACTGTGTGTTTATTTGAGAAGGAGACAATCTGTTTTTTTGGATATGGCACTGAAAGGCGTGTAGCCCTTCTCCCAGTTTCTTTCTGACTTACTGAGTCACCTTGGGTAGATCACCTCTCTGAGTTTCCCACCTGTAGAATGGAGATTGTGATTTCTGCCCTGCAGTGGTCCCACACAAACACTGTGAGGATGAATCAGAATCTTAGTGGTGTTCCCAGGTCTGTGACTCTGGAACTGCATGCAAGTGCAATCACCATAAACAGAAAGGGTGATGTGACTGTACAATGCCTAGAGAGTGTAACGTATGGTCATGACCTAACCCAAAAACCAAACCCATAGCTGTTCAGTCAATTCTGACTCATAGCCACTCTATAGGACAGAGTAGAATTGCCCCCGTAAGGTTTCCAAGGCTATAAATGTTTACAGAAGCAGACTGCCATGTCTTTCTCCCACAGAGCAGCAAGTGAGTTTGAACTGCCAACCTTTTGGTTATTAGCTGAGCATTTTCACCACTGTGCCACCAGGGGTCCTTTGTCATGACCTGGTGGAGGTCAAAGTGTCACATGTGATGCAAAGGCTCAGGTCTTTGCATCTAGAGAGAAACACTATGTAAAGGCAAAAACTTTCATATTCTTAAAAAAATATACATCCAGTATAGCTAAGTAGAGGTAAAGCAAAAACAAGCCAAACTTAATAATGGTGAAGACCTGACCCTCCAAATTTCACAATGTCCAGCTCTATATTCTAGGATAAGTGGCCATGTTGCTCTTTGAGGAGGAGAAATTCCCAGAATGCTTTGTGGGCATTTATTTCTGTTCTTTTCTGTGAAGCAGTACCAAAGAGGAGAGATTGTTTCTTGTATGAAATGACACAAGATAAGATGGGGGAGTGGGGTTGGGCGGAGAATGGCTTGTGAAAATTTTAACACGTGCTGGAAGTTTTCTTGCCATCCAGGAGATTGCAGCCTGGAAATGGCCACAGACCTTCATACTTTCCCTCTTGAAAAATCAGGGCTTCGGACTGGTTCTCCCCGGTTCAGTCATGGCCAAGGAAGTGAAACCGGAACAGACCCAAATTTTTAAAATTTTGATGAAATGTAATGGGAAAAATTACAGGTCAAAGCTCTGCTAGAAACCTAATCTCCCTCTTAGAAAACAAGGGCAGTGTATGCATTGCATAGCAACGAAATCTCTTGCCAGTTGGATTTTGAGCAGAGTCTGAAACAGTGGTGCCCCGCTCAAAGATGGCAGTTGACCGCACCACTTTGAATGTGTGTCGCTCTCCACAGTCCTGTCAATAATCCAGTCTCATACACTAGGCTCCTGAAAGGGCTCACTTTGCCGCTTCTGAGTCTCCCATTCCAGAGCTTCGACCCATAATTTTTCTTGTTCTGGTTGGCTGGAGATCACCCAAATTATTAAAATTTGGATCTATGCCAGTTTTGCTTCATTGGCCATGACTGAACCAGTTTGAACCAGTTCGATACCCTGTGAAATTCCCATGCTCAGAAAAGAGAGAATATGAAATGCGATGAGGAGAAAGCATGAGAAGGGTTGGAAGAAGCTTTTGTTTTGGTGTGTTACCAAGGAAACAAGCAGGACAAAACCATCTCAGATGGAATCACCAGCAAAGCTAGCCCAGGGTCCTGCTCAGGCAGTAACCAATGCCCGCACCATATCTGATCAGGAAGATGGAAGTTTCCTTTGGAAACCCTTGGGCTGAGTCTTCAAGGAGAGTGGTAACCAGAATTTGCCAAAGACGAAGAAGAGTCTGGGGAATGAAGATATATGAGGGTGCGGTTTGTGCTCATTTGTAAATTCCACCATTCATCATTCCCCCCCCCCCTTAAAAAGGACAGTTGGAACAGAGGTGAATTCACCCAGGTGGCTGTATTGAATTTACCACTGAATCCCCTGTATCCCATGGTTTAGCGCCTCACATATGGTAAGCACATAAACGCTGAATGGAGAGGGGTAGAGGGGTGGATGCATGAAGGACAAATGAATGGTAAATGACCAGAGGATATCTGTACCACATAGATCAGGTGAGTAGCCCTCCATCCATTCACTAAAACTTTACTGAGCACCTGCTATATGCCAGGTATGGTTCTTGGTGCTGGGGAGATAAGAGTCTGATAATTGGACCTAAGGATCACTTATACTATAATGTCATGAGCAGCCTCCTTGGATTCCCCTGCTGAGATTAACTACCTCCCTACCCCAGTATCCATCCACAGGTTGGCCTAATGGTCCCTCAAAGCACTGGCTTGAAGGCTTCATTTTCCTGGGGACAAGCCATCCACCCAACCAATCATTATCTAGTGACTGTTGCTGTCCTTCCCTCTGAGGGGCCTTGACTAATCAGTTCAAATTTTAAGGCCGTGCACTTAATCAGCTTTAAGTTACAGTAAAAAGAGAGAGATGTTAAGTCATTTTCAAGGGCAACATCTCTTATAGCTTTCACAGAGGCAACAAAATGATCATCAATCTATACAACCGAACTTCAGGCCCTGCAGAGTCCCAGGTCCCCAAACAGGGAACCCGCTCCATCACTCCGTTGTTGTTGCTGAGGCAAGAAAAGTCAGTGTTTTAGAAGCATTTCCAGTTTAAAAGTCCTAACAAAAAGAGATTACTAGTCAATACTGAATTGATGAGAAAGTTTGGTGAAACAGAATATCCCACTTCTTAGTCCTTTCACGTAATTGAGGTGACCCATATACTGTTAATGACCACATCCCTACCGTGTATGTCCTAGGGAAACATTCGGCAGAGAAACATAAGGAAGACTGGTACCTCTTGGCACAGCCTGGAAAGGGTCTTTCAGGGACCCAGCAAACAACTCTCAGTTCCAGAAATGTGT